AGCTGCTCTCCTCTTCGAAGGTTATCGGTTTCTTCTTTTTTATTCTTCGCTTCTTCTGTTTTATTCTTTGCTTCTACGGATATTGGCGGATTTTATCAATCTCTTATCACGATAAAGGTTAATATTCCTTACTGTTGCGTATTGACAAAACAAATCGACCTCCGGACAAACGCTTTCGCACTAAGCGCTTCATTTGGATAGGTTTGATTGGAGTTTGATTATCCAACCACTGAGGTCGGCAAATAAATTATCTGGCAGTCTTTACTATTTCACGACACTGCCCATGCAGGATCCAGTACCGTTGTCTCATCTTGCTCCAGGTGTAGTGCACGTTTGCATGAAATAATTGCTCATGGTAATGTTTCGCGACCAGTTCTGGTATCTTTCCTCTGTTGATGAAATACGGAAATCTTCAATTTGAGGCATAGCCTAAGACTTCCAACACATCTCTAGATTCCATTCCGATCTTTTCTTAAACCCCACTGTTTGATTTCCTCTTGCATTATGTTTAACTGTGCCATCTTGACTATCATTTGTATTACCTTATCACACTCCTAAATTCTCTCCAGAGAACCCTCTCAAACTTCTTATCTTCTCCTTTGACACCTTCGCAAGGAATCGCAAGACGTATGACATCGTTCTTATCAACTTAGTGATGAGAATCGTGACTCATCTATTAAGCCGTAACTTGATCTGACTACATCGCTCCTTCCATCAATCCCATGGCCATACACACACTCGTGGTGTTTCCTTCTATAACTTTATCCTCAGGCCATTTTTCCTTCGGCTTCCATAACCATGATGGGCCATTCCACCACAACGAATTGTCTTCCAGTTTACCCGGGAGAAATCCTCGTGAAGCCTAGTCTGCTGGATTATTTGCTGATCTTACATGACGGAATTCAATCCCTTTTTACCTCACCTAATTCTGTTTGAGACATATTTGGATCCTACCGGCGATTTTCTTAACCAGTGCAGGACACAAGCGCTATTCGTCCATAAATGTTTTTCCCACTTCAATTTCTTGCTTAAAGAATTCCAGTACTCTTATTTCAAATGTGACGGGAGTAATTCTAATCGAGAAATACTGGTTGGTTGATTCCTGCTTTCTTGTTTTGGAACTAATCTTCCTGTATATCAGTTGTGGTTTGGATGGAGTGATATTACTTCTGCGTACTTACACTGCTAGTCCCACAGCTCTTTGAGATACGTCTACAAATGCATGTATCCGGGAGCACTCTTGCGACATCCATCGAGACACTTTTATGACATCTGTTGGTTAAATGCCTTTTCTAATTCCAAGCAACGTCTGATTTCTTCAGGTTCTAATTTCTTATCCCAGGACACACCCTTCTTCCATAAGTTTTGAACCAACAGTTTCCATGGGAGTATAACTGGACCTGATAATTCCAATAGATCGTAAATAGCAGCATAGAATTAAAATACCTGACGTTTGGTCTGAAGGCTTCTGCGATTACCCAGCTCCAAGTAAACTCACCTTTGGTATTATTTCATTCGATTCCCAATAGTTTGGTAGCTGTCTTCTTTGTTATTTATTGCTCAATGTCATAGTTCGCATGGAATTCTCTTGGTTTTCTTAAAGAGATCTTTTGTTCGTGTGCCTTTTTGTTACTTTTTTACTCACTTTCTGCAGTTAATACAGCATTATCAACACAGATTCTTTGCTACTTCTGCTGACAATTTAGAGCTTTCCTCATTCAGTGGATGTCCAATGACAGCGGCCAACAGAAAAGATGATGATACTACGCCGAAAGGAAATCGCGTGAAATTAAATCATTTCCTTCGCCTTGTCTTTTAGCCATAAAAACCTAGTAAAATCTGTCTTCCCATTTTAGGCTCGCTTGCAAAAATGCTTTCTCTACATCGGCTATCACCAGGTAACGCCCTTGTCTGGCCCGTAATAGAATTCCTGTTAATGATGCCATCATTAGTGGCCCCCTATACAGACATTTATTTAATGATAGGCATCAAATACTACCCTAAGCTTCGTGGTGGATTTCTGAGGTATTATTACCGCTTGGTGGGGCAGGTAAGATACTCGCATGTTTCATTCTGATTCTTTATCCTTTCTGTGATTCCTTAAGGTTTTAATATACTCATCGTAACATCCCAAGAATTCTGGAGACTTCTTCCGTCTTCGTTCTGTAGTTCATAGACATCCCCATGTCAGTCCATATCCTTTTGCTGAGGCTTAGTTTTTCCATGCCAGCTCACTAAACATCCCCCCTTCTTTGTCCGTAGTGAGCGATTTTTGAAAGGTTCCAAGGGCTTTTTCATCCTAATAATCCGTCATTAAATCGCTAATCCCAATTGCTTCTAATTTCTACATCTGTTCAATCTGGTCCATGTAGATTTGCGATTCCTTGTTATATTCGCAGTTGCTTGAAATTTATCACTTCTGTTCCCTGTATCACTATCTTACGCCACTTTCCATTTGCCGCCTTCAGACCACTTCTATTTCTGTTTCCATAATTATCCGTCCTGGTGGGTGCTTTATGGAATTACGAATGACTACATCTGCAATCCCTTACACACCTAATAATACATATGGTTTTCCCCATTTACCTTCAGCTAGTTGCCCTCTTTCATTATTTATTACATACGGTATCTGTTCGAGTATCGAATCGACAATTTGTACTTGGATATTCTTCACATTCTCGGACAGTGTTTGAACTCCGAAGGTTATCTTTCGGTTTTCATATTTCCTTGTTTCTACCATTCCTGCTGTTAACATTCCCACACTTGGTGATGTTTTAAATTCAATTTGCTTACCATTGATTCTGTAACATAGTTACAATCACTTCCTGTATCGAAGAAAATTAAAGTCTTTGATGTTTTTCTTGGTTCCTTCGGATTGATTAGTCTTACTTCTTTATGCGTTATATACGCTTCCCGAATGCTATCATCCGCAACCGTGGCCGCCACTTTCTTTGAGTTTATGTTTGCTTTCTCACCATTTTTGAAATTCTCGCTTTGCTTCTTCATTTCGCTGCGTTTCCTATACAAAGCGCTATTGTGACCAGATCCGCAATAAAAACATTTTATTCTCATGCACGTTCCCTGTGAGTGGTCGTTCCAATAGTTACTTTCACAAAAAATAGCGGTAATCGACCTCCCTCTTTCTTTTGTGACACTCTGCTAGGATATATCCTCTCCTTCACCGTTGAGCAAACCGTTGAACATCTGATGCCACTCTCCCAATTCGCGAATCTTTTGTCTTGCTCATTGCATCTTTGTCCTATTAAGCTTCTCATCTCATCCGGTGGTTTCACTTCAGATTCTTCGATCTCCAACTTTTCTTTAAGGTATTTAACAGTATCTTCCATTGTCTATTCTGGGTTCCTGCACCTCTTTTTTAGACCCTTAGCCATGT